AATTACAAAAAAAAAAAAGGATGTCATTTTACTGCTTCCTGATATGAGCAGGCCAGTAGAATTTGTAGAAACTATGATACGTGTCTGTAAATGCACAGCTTACGGGAGCTGATTATAAATTCATATTAATGAACAAAATGGGGTCTCAATATGATAAGACGGCTCTGAAAATGACAAGGTTAAACTAAGACCCCAGCAAATGATGCGTAGAGTAAAAATTAAAGAAGGGAATTATGAGGAACAAGAATACACAAAAGATGTACCGTACTTTTACTGGCGGGATGAAAAGGGTGCTATAGATATCCTGAAGCGACAGCTTACTGGTTACCTTGTGGACACTCGTTGTGCTCACAGAGACTTGTCACACGTGACCAGCTGTAAGCAGGAAAAGAAAGAGACAGTTTCTGCCTTCCTCCAGCGTTTTTCCAACGTCTGGATACATCTGGGAGGATTTGATCTCCCTGAAAGGCAGCCACAACCATTGTTTATTTCCACTTTTAAGATACTTAAATTTTAATTATTTGATCGATCTGAAATGACTCCAGCACAGCTCAAGCAGAGGATTCGAACGATGACTGGCAATGGTCTGTTCGATCAAATTCAGAATGTCGCCCTCCTACAAATGGGGGTTGCGCAGCCATACCTTCATAACTAATTTAATAACGGCCTGCCATCTTCCCTCGCAACTCCCCATTGTTAAAACTCAAGGTTATTCGAAGGAACACACTGATGAAGTCAAAGGAAACGCTCTGGCTGACCGACATGCTAAATTAGCAGCACAATAGCCTTTGCCTGAGGACTCTATGCACGTTTCCTTGTTCTCTACAACCTCGGCTTCAGGGATGCTCCCTGACATTGATTTGGCTATGTTACAAGCATCAGCCACTGACGAGAATAAGTCCTTCTGGGATGCCTTTTCTTCCACATTTGATGAAAAGATGGGTCTATGGCATGACAACATGGGTCGCCTATGTGTCCCACATGTGGCACTGTCATTTCTCGTCCACGAATTTCATAGTGTCACTCATCGTGGACGAAGAGGGGTACACAAAACGATGCAATCTTTGTTTTGTGTCCCAAAACTAAAAACCACCATTAATAACATACTTGACAAATGTCTTATATGCGACCAATATAATGTATCAAAGCCTGTGGCACAGCACCAACATTTACCAAGACCAATCACACCTTTTTCTGAATGGCAAGTATATTTCACGCATATGCCCAGGAGGGGACCGTTTAAGTATCTACTGGTTTGCGTGGATACATTTTCAAAATGGGTAGAAGCTTTTCCCTGCTCAAGGGAAAATGCACAAGTGGTAACACAGAAATTGATCTCTGAAATTATACCTAGATATGGGATCCCACAAAGCATCGATTTAGATAAAGCAACACCTTTTACATCAAAGGTGACACAACAATTGGCAACTGAATTAAATATAAATTGGCGTTTCCACATACCCTATCATCCACAATCATCAGGATTTGTGGAGCGAACTAACAGAACCTCGAAAGGAAAGATAAAGAAGGCCTTAAGACAACACGGTCATAAAGATTGGGTAAAAATTTTACCGAAAGTAGCAGATTTGAGAATGACACCACAAGCAAAAATCTTTATCACCATATGAGGTGGTCATGGGAAGACCTCTCCCTATCCCATGGCAAGGGGAAATTATGAGAGTGGGTATTGAGCTTTCTAACCACGTGTCAGAATTCTCAGCGGCCCTAATTCAGAAACTCAATCAGTATTGGGAAAGGGTAACAAAGAAACACCCTGAAATTCCACTTGAGGCAGCACACCCTTTCCAGATAGGGGACAAGGTGCTAATAAAAGATATAAAACCCCAGAAAGATTTAACTGATCCCAAATATGAAGGGCCAGCTGAGGTTCTGGCTGTTACATGCACTGCTGTATAAACTGATCTTTTTCCACAGTGGATCCATGGCACCAGAGTGAAACCATTAAGGTAAATGTCTATGATATGATACTAATCGTTTTTGTTTTGCAGACTACTTCTACTGGTAACCCTATTGGGATTGACACAGGCCCACACTGAAGTACACAACTTATTCTGGCAGTATGCCAACTGGACTGCATGACAGACAACCATTGAGTCATGTGTTGTCTGCCAAGAAGTGTTCTCCTCTGCTGTGACTATATCCTTGAAACCTTTGCCTTTTACATGTACTAAACTTGTTTTTTGTACAAATGCTTTGGGAGATATTTATGAGTGGCGCCCCACATGCGTTTCCAACAAAAAAACATGGAAGCCCCTTGACAGATCAACTAGCAGAAAGAATCATACTGTTGTAATACCTACACCTAGAACTATGGGTTTGAATATTTTGTTGACGAAACCCCAGGGGTTCACTTTTTCTTTTTGCTTTAATGGGACAAATGGAGGTAATGTATCCACCTTAAGTGCTAAAGATTGTAATATAGTAATTGGCCAAAGGGATCGATTTTCGGGGGTATATTTACTGTGGCGAAAGAATAAAAAATATAGTTCTCTGCTAAGTATTTGTCCCCGTTACATCCCAGGCACCTGTGAACTGAACAACTTAAATATGCTAATGTCACAACTGATACAGCTGTCACGGCATGTTACGGCCTGAACAACACATACTGTCAACACAGCAATGTAACTTGTGTCCCCACTTTGCCGAGACAGGATGCGGTCCTGGCCGATGACTGGTACTGGTATTGTGGGGGAGAAATCATCTTCAACACTTACCCCACCAATTGGACTGGTCTTTGTATTGTGAGCCAATTACAACACATGGTCACTGTCATGCATCTTGCCAGACAATCTGGAAGGGAACGAAGGTCAGTTCCCCAGGACAACGTACCCGACGAACACCGTATGAGATTACACTGGACTAGATTCTGGGAGGCTATGATTCCCAGTTTTGGCGTGGCAGATGCCTTAAAACAGCAAGAGATTATGCATTATAGACTGGCCTCCTTTATTAACAGTAGCACGGATGCCATTACTGGACAAGCTGTAAAGGAGATGAAAAGGATATCATCACAGGTTTATGAGGATGAGATGAAGGAAAGAAATCATAATTGGGGATGGGGATTTTTAGAAAGCCTGTTTGGATCATTGGCTCCATATGTCTCAATGGTAGTACAGGTACTTATTATTTTCTTATGTGTATGTATTTTTGGTCCATGTCTTCTGAGATGTTTTTAGAATATGGTATGATCCAGGCTCTTGTAAAAAAAACAGAGCCTGGAAGAGGGGATTGAAAGAATTATGCATGTACTCACTCTTCAAATATTCTGTTGTTTTCTAACTGTTTCTTATATTGTTTTAAGTTTTCCCTGTACTAGGCGCCTTGACGTTGCGCCTTGACATTTTTGAGCACTGAATGAAATTGTTCTGCTTAACTGAGCTGAATATTTGCACATATTCAGAGCCCATGTAACCTTGAGTATGATGTATAAAGGCTGGGAATGCCCGAGTCTTCTACAGAAGAGGGCAATAAACTGTTGGATTCACATCTCAGTTTTTGTTGTCTTCCTGGAGCTCCTGCTTACTGAGGAAACACACAGACGATCTGCAATTTATACCAACAGAACCGCTGGTGTAGAATGCAGAGTTTCTCACTTGTAAATATTCATAGTTCAGAAAATTCACAGCCATATCACCCTGCAGCCCAAGAGCAGTTACTTACTGAAGCTAAGCAGGGCTGAGCCTGGTGAGAATCTGGATGGGATACCACATGTTATGGGAAAACTAGGTTGCTGTTGGAAATGGTGTTAGTGAGGCCAGCAGTGTGTGCGTCCTAATGCCCCAGTATAGAGAAAGGGACACTATACTGTCAGTAAGCTCAGTCTTTCGGATGAAACGTTAAACCGAGGTCTTGACTCTCAGTGGTTATTAAAAATCCCATGACGCTTCTTGTAAAGAGTTGGGGTGTAACCACTGTGTCCTGGCCAAATTCCCTGCATCGGCCCTTACCTATCATGGCCTCCCAATCAACTGCATCTACCGAATTGGCTCTATCAATGTCTCTCCACTCCACCAATAGCTGGTGTGCGGTGAGCACACTAGCACCGTTGTCCTGTGGCTGCCATCGCATCATCCAGGTGTATGCTGCACACTGGTGGAGGTGAGGAGAGACCCCCCTCATGATTGTGAAGCTTTTTGGGTGTATGGTCATACACAATAAATGTGCAATATAAATACACATTCCTTACTACTTACTATGTCCAATCCAGCTCCTGGAGGACCACAATATTCTTTTTTTTAGCTTCTTTCATAATAAAATACACCTGTACTAGTTAATCATGGTCTTACTAGGCTTAATGCAAACTCCATTTCTAATTCAGCAAATAAATGGACAAAAACATGACAAACACAACAGTTCAATTGACACAATTTTATTTCAATTCAACAATACATTTTTGGCAGCAACACCGCAAGACGCAAGTATTGCTGCCTCAAGCTCTGACACCAGACATTAGCAATAAGCAAAGGATTGGAGAGGTGGTGAGGCCACTGGTGTTAGCATGCCTGGCTAATCAGCTCTTCCTGCATGACCAGGACCGGGCGCTCATCCTCCATGTCTGATGGTGAGATCTAAAGAAAAAACAAAAACAAATCAGGTTTATTGTCCCCAAAATAACTGACATTTTGAAAAGTTTTTGTAGATCATAGGTACCGTAAACCAGTCGTGGAGGAGGATCTGCTCCAGTTGTATCCTCTCGCTGGGATCGGGATGCAGACAGGCATTAATGAGATGACTGCATTCTGAAAGACAGGATTAATGTTTGACTATTACTTTAAACATCCTTTACATCTCCTGATGGCATTTTGGACAGCTGAGCCAAGTGGCTTTGTCAGACACTTTTTTGTATGATTGTAACAATTTTTTCAAGTTCTTACCACAAGACAAGGACGGCAGATACCAGAGCCAGTGCTGCATCTTTTCCCGATCCGTGTAGTCTGGCATATATCCACACACCATAGTGTATAGCAGCACTCCAAGCGAATACACAGTTGCTGGCCGTGCCAAGTATTTGCCCGTTTCAAAAAACTCTGGAGGGCAGTACATCTCTGTGCCTGGAGGAAAGAGATTTGCATGTCTGAGTTACAACAGTTTGTTTTTACTGTATTCAGCAGCTTGTGTGTCATGACACTAAAGTTTTAATACTGTACATACCACTAAAAGTGTGGTACTCTGTTTCGTGGAACAGGTTCCCACAGCCGAAGTCAATCAGTGTGACATCCATGGTGTGTGTGTTGACTATCAAGTTCTCCAATTTTATATCTCTGTGGAATACTCCGCGCCGGCAGCAGGTCTCAGCTGCCTCGATAACCTGGCGCATCACATACCGAGCAAACCTTTCTTCAAAGATGTTGCCACAGCTCTCCAACAGCTTGAACACACTCAGGCATGGTGAAGGGCGCTGCAGGACCATTATATAATGGTCTGGAAAGTCCTGCCAATCCAGCAGCTCGATTATGTTGGGTGAGCTGGGACCCTTGTTTGCCATAAGTGTGAGGCCGATTTCAAGTGGTACAAGTTCTGGAAGGCCAGGCTAGTGGAAAGAGTTTTTAGGATGGTTAAATTAAGGTGGTTTGCACAACATGTTTATAATTTGTTTATTGAGAGATAGTTTGCTGTCTATGATTAACACTGTTGAAAAAAAATAAAAACAGAGTTAGAGGAGATGAGTCTACTTACAACGTAGAGATATTCCATGCCCTCCATTTTTCTGGCAAACTTGATTGCCACCTGATCAACAAAACAGAATTTAACAGTTAGCACTGGATTACATCAGACCATTCAATAATCCTTGTTGAAATTCTAGTCATGAATTTGTAGCATGTTTGGTCAGGTTGACCATTTATCAAGCGCTCTAATTGTGTAACAAAAGACAAAGCATAACACATATATATAGTTTGTTAGGTTGATTTTACAAAAATATATGTAAATTTACCGGAAGACCATCATGGGCACGGACACCAGCATATACGGCACCAAATCCTCCTTCTCCCAGTAGCTCACCCATGTTGTAGGTCCAGCACATGCCTGTTCAAATATAATTAGTTTTAGAGACAGATTCATATTCTACAATGCAAAAGTAAAACTTTATTACCACTTTATACCATTACGTCACTAATACATAATGCAGAAACATCTAATCCTTTCAAACAGTGAAAGCATCAAGCAGCCATAATTAATATGAACTTACTCCCAATAATCAAGACCATGTCTTGGCTTGGGTTTTCTGCCAGAGGACACACAGTTTCTTCCTCTGACAGATCATCTGTAAACTCCTGGATTTGCTCGTCAACAGTGAAGAGAGGAATCTCAAAACTACTGTTGGGAGTGTTCTGAGGACCATAACTCTCTACAGAAGATATGGTCTCCACTGAAGTTGGATCTAAAGAGGAAAATATAACAATTATATATAAACACACAAACATTTCAATACTGCTACAAATAATACATTTATAGTATTTACAAAGACAAAACTGAAGAGTTCAGATACACAAACATCTGAACATCTGAAAATTTGAACTCTGCAAATGTTTAAAGCTATGATGATCTTCTTTAATGATTAAGTTCAGTAAACACAAAAGATGAAGAGATTTACCATCAGTAGACGTTTCTTCCTCCAGCTCCACATTCTTACACTGTTCCTGTATTTGCAGGTCAATGATGGAGGGAGGAACCTCAAGGCTGTTAGGAGCTTGCTGGGATTCATGATGCTCAACAGGGCTTGAGATGTTTCCTACTGAGGTTTGATCTAAAGAGGGGAACATACATTCAACATTTACTTTAATTAAAACACACAGAAAAGTTTTAATCCTTTAGTATTTAATCCTTTAGTATTTGCAGAGACAATATTTTAAAGCTATGGGGATCATTTTTATTCTTTTTTTTTCCAGTCAGAAAAAATAAAGGGATTTACCATCAGTAGAAGGTTCTGCTTCGGTGACTGGCTTCACCTTCTCACTGTCCACCTGCTTCACCTTTACACCCCTTCCAGCTCTTGGGCGTGAAAAGCGGAACAGCTTTCTCCAAAAACTTGTTTTTTTCTTCACTTTCTTTTTCTCCGTCACCCCACTCCCTCCATCTTCCTCACAAGGAACAACACGGCTCTCATCAAGCTGATGGTTTTCAAGACGAGGCGTGTCATTATTTAACTGAAGTGGTGTACTAGGATGTAAACTGTACACACACTCCGACTCTGTCGCTATATTCAGACAAGAAATTCGCTGACCCATGATAAAACAAACGCAGTCTCACTCCAAACTACCCACTAAAACTAAATTACACCGTCAAGCCTTAACATTCCACTTTGACGTTCTAATTATGACATCAAATAAAATGTCCTTGAGATCAATTTGTTTTGTTTTAAAATTTGCTGGACTACATATTGTATACATAATACCTGACAATTCTTATAGTAATGCCTAAAATAAAACTAAAATAAATATTAAATCATATTATAAATGTAAATCTACTTGTTTTAATACTTGTTCAAACACTTATATAAATGTTTAATTCTGTACTTCTGCAGTATAATGCTGCGTCGCTAATACTTTCTTATTGGTTGTATTCTCTTTCTCAACCACTTGAGGGCGGTAAATATCATGGTATCTGAACAGAACTGATATGATCTCCACATTACTTCATGATGTCAGTGGGAGTAGTCTACTTGAAGAGTTTTATTTCTTTTTGTATGTATATTAAAATGTAAGGAATTGAAGTCAGAAATGAATTAGAGTAAAGATGTGTGGATGGGATTTTAAAACATAATAATCTGACTGAATCTACTAAACATAGTAGTGGAAACATGCTATTTTCTGTTTTTCCATTTAGCTTAGAGAACTTGTGTTTTCCAGAAAACAAATTTAATTAAATGCAATAGATTTCCAAATGTTTGTTTAAAATATGAAGGTCAGCCTGGTTTTGATCCAACTTGTGATGGGTGTCAACAAGCTCCAGCCACTCTTTCTGACATACTTTCTGGCTTTTTTCAGCACTAAGCACTTTTTGGGCATCAATTTTTAAATCAATTTCTGAATGTTTTCTTTTAGATATCAAACCACGCACCCTAGTAGCATTATTTAGACGTAACCCTACAAATGTTTTCTTGTCATCTTCACAGTCAAATGCACTTGCTATCTGTTTAATAATTGCTAAAAGGCATTTAACACTAAAGTGGAAAAATCCTTCTCCGACCAGTTATGTGCATTGGATGCATGATCTGATGCAGTCTATTCAAATAGAAAAGATTAGGTATACAGATTGCAGTATTAGAAAAAAATTGACACTATTTGGCAACCTTTCCTCTCTCATTTTCCTGTTAAAAATGGAAAGCACAGACAAAATATACAAGTTTATATATTTATGTTTATTTTCTTTCTTCCTTCTTTTTAAAATTCTTTTTTTAAATTAATTAATTCATTTTTTTACTGCTGTACCGTTATACATATTTGTATATTTTGCTATATGGCCTAACATGCAACCCAGGCTCATTGTGGAAACGTAGTCCCGCAGACGTTTCTGGAGACGTCCCGGTGGGTACGTACGGCTGCAGTTTTGGTTGTTGCGAATCCGCAAGAGGCTGCTGTTGTGCGCTTTTTCGCATCTCAAACGCCTCTCGCGAGTGCGGTTCGCACCTGTGCTGTTCTCGAGTGAACCCACCTGAGGCCGCTGTCCGACTGACCGGATGATTGACTGTGCGACTGGCCAATCGGCTGACCCGCCCTCCTCCTTCCCTGAACCCAACCAATTTTACCGATTGACCCGCCCGCCCGCTCGCTTCCCTAAACCAGAGTAACAGTTTACAAAAGCAGTCCAAAATAAGAAAAGCCCTGATATATTTTTTCTACCGCTTTTTCGGATTTCACCACCTTCTCACCCGGTTACGAAACTTGTTCACTTAATTTTTGGGATTCTGTTTTTGTCTTACCTGATTGCTGGAACCGCTCTTCCCCGGACTCGAAACCGATTGCCGTGGTCAACTCCTCTCTGCATCTCGAGTCTGCCGACGTACACTGTGAGCTGAGTGGACAAACGGGTTGCAGCGAGAAAGCCCTCCACAAGGAAGTAAGTGGTCGGCCGGCAAGCCGGCCTGCAAGCGCGAAAGGGATTAGCGTCACACTGCCCAGTAGCGTTCGCTTGAAAAAAATAAATGCAGCCGTACATACCTCCCGCGACGTATTCTGCTGTATCCAGAAATGCTGCGGGACTACGTTTTCAGAATGAGCTTGGGTTGCTAACATGTGTTACTTTTATCCATAATGTTATTTAATTTATCTTCATTTTATCAGTTGATGTCTTGTGATTCTTTGTATTTAATATTGTAACTCTCTGACTAATAAGCATCAATAAAACAAAGTTAGGCTAAAATAATATAATAACAAATGTTTTATTTTATGAGAGACTTCACGGCTCTATCACATACAAAAATACTCAAGCTCACTACTTTCCTGTGTTGTCTGAAGGAAATAAAATCAGTATCTTGGCTTGAAAGATTGTCACTACGTTTCTTTTAGAAGGGCTCATCCCTATGGCTTAATCAGCTGATTCTCAACCACATTCCTTTTTATTTTTAAATTATTTTTATTATTCTACTAATACTTCCAAACATGTTTTTGTGTTGTTGATGTGTTGATGCAGATATTGAATTATCTATAGATCAATGCTTCCATCATTTTAAAGACTGACATGTCTCTTTCAGTGACACAAGCCAGCAACCAGGGCATCATGAAACAGTGGTTCCCAACCTTTTTTTGCTTGAAACCCCCCTTTTCCCTGGACAATATTGTAACCCACCTCCACATTTATTGATATTATCGCTCATATATGTTTGCAGTAGGTATGACAAAAAATTGTTTTCAAACAAACAATTTTTTTATTGACTTCCGGTTATGGCGGCCACCTGAGAAGACGTGCCTCACGCTGCTCTGTCCTAATTATTACAACTTTCTACTAAAAACATTTGTATATGCAACAAAACGTGTTAGAATAAGGTTGATGTAAACGCCACAAAGTCAAAGTCTGCCAAGTTAAGTAAAGAAAATAGTAAATCGTCGAGACTGCCGAAACTAACAGATTACCGTGTCTGTGGTGAAACACAGAAGGGTAACGAAGAAGCCACGGCGAATGAGTCTAACGGAGAGGGAACAGTTGAAGGAGCAAAAGCGGACGACATACTGGCTGCTATAAACTCCCTAAAGACAGACTTTTCATCAAGATTTGATGGAATCTTGACGGCGATTGAAAGTATGAGAAAGGAGATAAGTGAATGTGGTGAACGAGTGTCGCAGGCGGAATTGTGGATTTCAAACGTAGAGGATGACGTTGCCCACCTGCAAATCAAAGTAAACAGACTTGAGTCAAAGAACAAAACTTTGGAGGATAAACTTGTGGACTTAGAAACCAGATCGCGTTTGAACAATTTGAGATTGGTGGGCCTCCCGGAAGGTGCCGAGGGACGAGACCCCTGCTCCTTTTTGGATATGTGGATTCCAGAACTACTGAATGGTCTCGCTTTGCAGTCCTCATGTATCCTCGAAAGGGCACACTGAATCGGACCAATGAGGGACCATAAAGCGCCGCCGCGAACGCTGATAATGCAGTTCCTTAATTACAAGGATAAGCAGGCAGTCATCACAGCTGCACGGGCCAAACAAGACATTCGGTACAAGAACCAGCAAATAAGGTCTTTTGCTGACTTGGCAACTGGAATACACCAACGACGGAAGCAGTTTG